CGGAACTATTGGAACTACATGTCGGGGTGCTAACTTCACACACCTTATGGCAAGATAACTGAGAAATAATTTTTTAAAGAATAAAGTAACTAATTATATAAATAACATTAAAGAAATTAATGTTTTATTTATTTTAATTCTCTTTTACTATGACTATATAGTTTTAAATTACGATGGTATAATCATTATTTTTAGTGAATTGAAACAAATAAATTTTAATTTATTTGTTAAATTTCAATGAATTAAAACAAAATAAAATAAATCGAAACAAATAAAATAAAATAATCAAATAAAATAATAAAATGAAATAAAAAAAGAGTAAAATAAAAATTTGGAAATAAAATAAATAGTAACAGAAAATTGTTAATTTGTATTTAATTATGTTCATTCGATTGTTTCGAAATGGCTGCGTCAGCTTCATATATTTAATCGTACACACACACACACATACACACACACACACACACACACACACACACACACGTGTGCGCGTGTGTGTTATATCCTCTTTAGAACATAAATCAATTCGACAGCATTTTAAATGTGTAACAATTATATTTTTTATTATCCTTATGCAAAACTCACAAAAATTAAAAAAAAATATTATTATGCATATTATTACTGTTATTACTATTTTATTAGATTAATAAAAAGAATTTCTTTTCCTACATGACTGTTGTGCAGATAAAGTAAATAAACTGTTTATCTAATCCTATAATATGTCGACTTTCTGACAAGAGCGATCTAGCATACAATAACTTTGAGAGACTTCTTGTAATTATCATAAAAATATGTTATAATATTTGTTAAATTGATATATTAGACTTTATAATGTGACACATTTTTATCTTTATTAATAAAGAAGTTACATTAAAAAAAAATAAAAATTCCAATACTACAGAAAAGCTTTTGTATCATATCTATAATATGCTATTAATTAATTATGCTTTATTGTTATCTTAATAATGTAAATATTTTGTGATTAAACATATTCGAAAATCTTTAGAAAATCGAAATTATTATAACACATTATTAAAAAGATTAAAATTTTTTCATATATTCAAAGAAAATTCATATAAAATTATTTAAAAAATTGAAATTATTGTTATGAAAACATTATAAAAAAAATCAAGACTATTTTTATAAAAAACAAATTAAATTGTAAAAAAAATTGTTAAAAAAAAAAACATAAATCTTGCAAATTTCTTTGTTAAGAAAATCACAATTATTTTTATTATTATTGTTAATAATATAAAGAATTTTATTTTTACAGAAAATTATTATTCAAGAAATCTTGATGTCTAATAAATTAAACAAGATATATGTTAATTGTTAGATCTATTCTCTTTAAACTATAAGATTTAACTCCATATAGTATAGTCTAGTATATCGATTGAAAATTATGCAAGCATTATGCAAGTTCAAGGCGGTAACGGTTTATCTTGCACAGTCCGACGCATGTGGATTATACGGCGAGATACACGATTTATCCTGTGCCGTTATATAAACCATCTTCGCTAGTGAGCAAGTACTCATTACAGATTTATTAGACTTTTTAAGATAGGATACGACTACAGTCAGGTTGTAGGCCTACAACAATTAAATAATTAATTAGAGAAAAAATTTGCTTTCATATTATTAGGATCGTTTAACTATAGTCTGCATTTTATTTTTCAATGGATACATTCAATTTTTCGTTAAACAGATTTTTTAAATTAAATTCTGATGTTTTTATTATTATATTAATATCTTTCATGGTTACACATCTTTTGCTGAAATATATTTTTAATTATTATTTACTCTTTATTTATTTTTATTTATCATCTTCCAAATAAAATTAGAATTAAAAAAAACCTTAATCAGAATTTATTTTAATAAACATTTGTGATGTCAATTCATTTTTACAATTTTAATATATTTCAATGCTTCATATTAATATCTTTCATACTTACACATTTTTTTGTTGAAATCTACTTTTAATTATTTACTCTTTATTTTTATTATTATCTGTCAAATAAAATTCGAGTTAAAAATATTAATCAGAATTTATTTTAATAAATATTTGTGATGTCAATTCATTTTTACAATTTTAATATATTTTAATGTTTCATATTAATATCTTTCATATGCTTACACATTTTTTTGTTGAAATCTATTTTTAATTATTTACATTTTTTTTATTATTATCTGTCAAATAAAATTCTAGTTAAAAACATTAATCAGAACTTATTTTAACAAACATTTGTGTTGTCAATTCATTTTTACAATTTTAATATGTTTCTTTAATGTTTTTTTAATACTGCATTTTTAATTTTAATATTTTATATTTTTAAACTTATATCATTGTTTTTTTGTAAAACGTCAATAATAATATAAAGACATTATGAATCTGATATTTTTCAAGAATTAAATGAAATCATGCTAGCACGCATTGCAGTCTTTATACCTAGTGTAATGCATTGGAGCACACATTACACATAGTGAATGCAGTAATGCAGTATGGATTAACGCGTGCATTAGTACGTACATAAATCAAACGCTTGCTAAAAATATAATGCATATAATGCATATAATAAGATTGTTATATCTATATATAATAGTCATGATCATCAAATTACGTCAATGCAAAAAGCTACCAAATTCTACGTGTATAATTTATAATTAATTATATGGTATTTGTTAAATAAAATTATTTCCAATATTTTTTATATAATTTATAAACACAAATTTAATAATATAAATTATAAATTTTGATATAAATTATAATATAAATTATTTATTATTATATAATTTATAATATAAATTATTTATTATTATATAATTTATAATATAAATTATTTAATTATTTATTATTATAAATAATTTAATATTTATTATTTATTATTATAAATAAATTATTATAATATAAATTTATATAACTCTACAAATTTTCGAAACAAAATTGTTCCTTTATTATACTGCCACGAGAAATTTTTTGATATTAATTTTCCGCATATATTACTCTTTTATATTAATCGCACATACACATGTGCGCGCGCCAATACATATTTGCAATATGTCTCGACATTACACACGTCATCTATTTTAGGTAAATTATTGTCTATACATAAAAAATTCATTTAAAAAAAAATTTTTAATATGCAATAATTTTGTGTAGAATTTCTTTATAATTATTTTCGTAAGAAATTTCATTGAATGCACATAAATAACATATACAGATTAATGTCCTCTACAATATACAACAGGTAAATTGAAGAATAATTTTTTAATGCGAAATATTTAATAAAGAATGCAAAAATATGACTATTCTAAAAGAAAAACATTCTGTAATAATATAGGACATGCGTTATATAAAAAAGTATGTATAACGATCTCTAAAAAATCTTTCACAACTCTCGTATTTTTGCACTGCACTTGTCACTTCTGACCGCTTTTGACCAGAAGAGCATGGAAATCGAATGGATAAAGCATTGTGAGATACGTCAAGGAATACAATCGACTCCACCCCCTTATGCTCATGAGATCGATTCCCCAACACGGACTCACGACACTCTCATCGAGGGCATCAGCAGAAAATATTAACACCAGGTTATTAGCCAGGTTATTAGCCCGGTAAGCCGCCAAAATCGAAAACTACAAGGATGGATCTCGAGTATTGCGCACGAAAAAAAAATTCCCTACCGCCTCCCATCTCGTCCCACTTCGCTTCCTCTTCCTGAGAGCACTCATGGGCGCTCGCACGCAGACGCACAGCTCTGCATTTGGTGGATGGACCAAAAGAAAGAGGAAAAAGAGAGAAAAATGGAGAGGAAGGTGGAATAAATGAGACATAGCGAGCGTGGGAGAGAGATAACGAAGGATCTGTTCTTTTCAGCTGCATATTTTCTTGACACCTTTTTCAAACTTTGTGACACACTAATAATTACACTATATCTTTCTCTATATATTATACTAGATCACTCTAAGGGTGGGTTTTCACTTGACGCTCGACGCTCATTTTTTAGCGTCAAAAAACATCACGTGACTAAAAATAAAGATACCAATTCGTCATTTTTTGATCACATGATGTCTTTTGACGCTAAAAATGAACGTCAAGTGAAAATTCACCCTAATATATATATATGGTGAATATATGGGTCATATACTGCATCTCTTGACAAGATAGTGAATGCGTCTTAAATAAAAATCAAATAGTGAAAAATATCAAATGTAATTACAAAAATAAGAAATATATCAATGACTCGTGGGATACCTGGTGTTACTCAACCTATATATTCTGCCCAATTAGATATGGCTGCCCTTGCATCGCTTTTAGTACTGTTGTTAGCGGTCTAATATAATATATAGAGAGTCTGTGACCTACACTTTTTCTGCAACTTTTATTTCCCGCACTTCAAGTAAGATAGATATTTATATATGCGTAATCACACACATTGCACTATGAACGAGAGAGGGAAAGACAATAAATGCAGAAAATGTGCAACTGACGTACGAAGAAAAACATTGAAAAAAAAATTTCCCTATTGCATCTTAATACACTTAAACCGAGATACTCATTCAATTTAAAAGGAGAAAATTAAAAAAAAACAGCTGTGGAGAAAACTTTACATCGATATTTAAGCAGGCAGCAGAGGTAGACAGAAATAGAAATTTATAACAATTAAAGGACTCACTTCAGCTGTTTATTAAGTGCACTTAACACCAAATGCGTCACATCTAGACCAAGTTTCAGGAAGGAAAATACAGATATTATAGCCGGAAAGAAAATTTTACATTGCATATTTAAGCAGACAGGAAAGATAGGAGTAGAAAGAGAGAGAGAGAGAGAGAAAGAGAGAAAAGAGATCATATAGGATTTGTTCTTTTTAGTTGCACTGCTGCACTAGTGCAGTAAGTTGGAAAGAGACAAACATACTTTCTTTCACTCTAACTAATTGCACTAATGCAGCAGTGCAGCTAAAAAGAACAGACCCATAGACGTGAGAGGTTATGGTACTTACTGCTGATCTTCATGCCGCCGAGGGGCGGGTTCGCAGGCGGCTTGTTACCCTCGGCGAAGGAGGTGGTTCTCGGTCGTCCGCTCATTCTGAGGCTGTTTCGACCGCCTCCACCTCCGCGCCTTCACCACCACCACCACCACTACCACCACCACCACCACTACTACTTGAGAAGGGTCGCGCTTTTCTTCCCTCCGCTGCTCGTCGTGCTAGGTTAGAACGGCCGGTAACTCCGGCAATTCTTCCAATTTCCCCTCGACGCCGTCTGAAGTTAGCCGCGATAGTTGTCGTCGTCGTCCTCTTCTTTCTTCTCTTTGTCGTCGATACCACTTCGCACATCAATGACAGTTGCACACGCGATTATCACATCGCACGCGAGCGCGCGCTCACGCGCGCTCACTTATCTCTCTCTTCCTTTCTCTCTCTCTCTCTCTCTCTCTCTCTCTTTCTCTCGCTTTCTTTACCGTTTTCGTAGTTTTCTATTTCACGTTAGACTACGACGCTCGATTAGACGAGGAAGCGAGAAGGAGGGGGGGGGAAGGGAGAAGGAATGAACGAGAGGTGACGCACAAGAGGGGGGGAGGGAACGGAAGAGAAAGGAAAGAGAGAAAGAGAGAGAAAGCACGCACCACTGCGAAACACCACTACTTTTCGATGGGACACCGCTTATTTTTTCACTCTTGAGCGGAAGACAATTTTCCGCTTCTGCTCGAGAGGGAGCGCGCGCGCGCGCGCAGCGACTCCGCCGACAAACGATGTCTCCTCCGGTCGATTCGCACGAGCGGCACCTCTTCTCCGTGGAAGAGACACTCCGTCGTCGAGCACCACCCACCCTCTTCCTTCTTTTTTTTTTTATCTTCTCGACGCACTCTCTCGGCGATCTCGGAGATCTAGAGCTTCCCCGATGCAGCAGCAGTTACCGCAAGCGGGTCCGAGAAGCGCGGTTCTGCCAGCCAATAAGCTGCGGCGGAGCGGGGTGGGGAGAGAAGGGGAGAGGAGGAGAGGGAAAGCGCTCTCAAGGGGTGCCAATGTCGTGGCAGTGGCTGGTTGACGTTTTCGGAATGGTTCGTACGACGCGATTTCTATATAACGTGACCGCTTCTTCGCACCTCGGATTTCTCCGTCGTCATCGGCCGTCGACGTATTACGTAGACGGATTTACGGATACTTATTTCTACGCCAACGTCGCTCTCTCTCTCTCTCTCTCTTTCTCTCTCTCTCTCTCGCTCTTTCGCTTCGATACCTTCTCTCTTGCTCGCCTCGCTCCGTCTCTCTTTCTCTCTCTCTCTCTCTTTCCTTTTCACTGTCTTCCTCGTTATGGAGTCTGGTCACTTCACCTATTCAGCGTCACTGACGTTTGACAGATTTCCGTGCTGCTGTATTTTCATCTCGTCCTCACGTTCAACGCCCGTGTTCAATTGCCTTCACTGTCCTTCTATCTCTCTCTCTCTCTCTCTCTCTCTCTCTCTATCTATCTCTATCTCTCTCGGTCTCACTATCGCTGGTCGCGGGCACCGGACAGACCGACGCAAGGCAGTTCTCGTAGCAGCCCCCCTGGATATATCGCGACGAGGGGCGACGGTACGGATGCGGAATAACGAAGGCGCGCGTTCGAATCACGTGTCGAATGATGATATCTCGAATTGATGCTCCGATGCGATCAGCGATGGCCTTTCTGCCTTGTCGTGAAACAGCAGCAGCAGCACGGTAACACCACACCGACCATTGAATTTTTCCGACGTCTCCTCCTCAGACATTGACCCGTTCGGGCATGATCGGGGGCCAGTCGAGTGTCGGCGGACATTGCCGAGCGTGACGTCAGCGACACCCCGCCCCGCCCCGCTTGTCGAGAAACGGGAGCGGCGTTCTCTATCGAGTGCGCGTCGACGGAAGCGCCGTAATCGGCGACTCCCAACGCCATCTTGGATACGTCGCGTCGCGTACGGATTGTTATTGCGGCGCGCAATTTGAATCTCAAAGTGGAAATCCAGGTCAAGTGCCGTAGGAGAAGTGAGCTCGTCAGATCGAAATTAGCTTGAGATGGAAATTTGTTATTAGAATGATTCATGCTGAAGATTTATTATACTTCTATACTAAGCTTTTGTATTTAAAAATATTGTAATTACCAGATTAAGATTATTATTATTAATTATTATTAATGTTAAATTGTTTAATATTATTATTGTTAGATTTTAATCTGATAATATTTATAATCTATCCGATAATGTGAGTTTCTAGTTATTATTATTGTCAGATTTATTCCTTTAACGAATATCTAAGCATGAATATCTTTATGTGACATGAAAAGAAAAACCAATTTTTTTAATGAACAGTTTGTTATTGCAATTCGGATCTTAAAAGAAAGAAGATATAGATTAAATGCTGTAAGAGAAATGAGCTTATGAAATCATTATTTGTTATTTTATAATAATCCTTTATAACAAAATAATTATCAGATTAAAGTAATTATCGATAATAATTATCGATAATATATTATTTAATATTATTATTAGCAGATTTTAATCTAGTAATATTTATGATTTATGTTATATAATATTAATTTAGTAATTATCAAATTTAAATCCTAGATAAGTATTTTGATATGAAGAAAAGTCATTTTATTATGAATAGTTTGTATTGTAGCCAAAATATCTTCAATTAAAAATATTTTAGAATTATTCTAAACTCTAAAAGAGAAGAAAAATATATGTGAAGTCTTTATATCTCTTAGCATAATAATGCGTAATAAAGGCAGAAAGACATCTTTCGTGCAAGAAAATAATATTATTTATCGATACTTTTCGTAATTATTATATGTGTTTTTTAGTTTATAATATTTAATAATTTATTTAATTAATAATTTAAAATTTCTCGAAACAACTATATGTGATTAAATAAAAATAAATAAAATAATTATATATAATATATATATATATATATATGTATATGTATATATTTATTTAAGCATAGAAATAAAAAAGAAAGAAGGAAAATGTATATGCTGAAAATAAATGCAGAAGAAATATAACTGTATAAACAGAATAAACTTTGTAATTTACCAATATAATACATATATATATATATATATATATATATATATATATATATCTATGAGAGAAATAAACAAAAATATTAATAATTGAAGGAATAATAAGTATAACAGGCTTATGCTGCTTGTTTCTATATAAAAAAGAAAACCATATAGAAATATCGAGATAAGTTTGATTTACAATTAGAAACATTTCATTTAATGTTCTTATTGAACAGTGGATGAGAGAGGTGCGCGCGCATGTTAAAGATCCCATATAGCACAGAAGCTTGCATCAACATTGCTGCCATGTTACAATATTGTTCACTGCAGTGTAATGTTACAGAAATAATGCAGAGATATTATTTTGTAATATTACTTTAGCGATGTTGCAGCAATGTTTTAACATAGCGAAAATGTATAACATGTGTTTCTTTACTTACCGCTACGCGACGACACACGATTTAACTAACTCGTATTCGAATTTTCATTTAAAGTGGATATAAGGCCTACAAAGGACTAATGTAGTAATTATATTTCTTGTCTTGTGTCAATTAAATTTCTGATAAACTGATTTGATTTATTTAATATTCTGAATCCTAATAAGGGATTTAGATTATTAAACAAATAATTTGTTTAATAATCTGGATCCCTCGTTGGGATTCAAAATATTAAACAGATTTTTCTTCATTGAATGGGTAAATGGGAAATAATTTATTGCACGTATTAAAATATTTTGATATCGAGTATGTAAAATAATTGTATGTATATTACTGAGATAAATATTTAATAAGACACATTTGATAAAAAACATTATAAATAGATGTTTTGTTTTCAAAGGCGGTAAATAAAAGTAGCAACTTGAAAATATTATTATAATAATAGTAAACTTTTCATGTTAAAATACGATCAAGCTTTATAACTCAAAAAGTACTCAATGAAAGAATACTTTATTATAGTGTTTTGGAAAGTTCTCGAGATAATCTACAAGAATATGCAAAAGCTTATAGGGTGTCCCATTTAAAAAATTGGAGGTGACTTTCACGTGTTCTTTAGGTGACTCTTCAAGGTTAAACTTATGTCCCCCTTGAAATCATACAATTTCATTTAGAAGTGTATATTGGAAAATCAAGCGAAAAATTCTTTCAAATATAATGATTTTTTAAATTTAATCTGTGTAAAAATCTAATTATTCCTATGTATCTCCGTAAATATTTACTTTAGTGTAATCTGAACTTGATATAAGTACCAAACATCTGAACTTGATATAAGTATCAAAATCAAAATTTTTTAAAAATATTTAAGAAAACTTGTTTATTAAAAAAATTATTAATAAAAAATGTGTATGCAAAATTTAAATATAAATGGATAATGAAAGTTAATTACATATTAAGAAATAATTTAAAAATATTAATATTTTATATATATGTGTATATATAATGCATGTATGTACATACATGCATGTATATACATTTAGTAAATATATATAGATCTTTATATAAAGTATTCAAAAATATTAAAAAAATAAAAAGTGAACAAGTGTGTATGTAATATAGATAGGAATACTTATAAGCTCTGTTCAATATAATTTTTTATTGCTCATCTATGTTTAAACTTTTGCTTATTCTTTTTTCTTACTAGCTTTTTAATTAAGAACGACCGATGGTTTAAATATTTTAAAAATTATTCAAGATAATGACTTTAACAGATATCAAAGTAAAATCATTTAAGGATGTTACAAAAAATATACATATACATATATTGATCTATTGTTTTTTAAGAATATTTAATATATTTTTCATAAATTTTCTATAAATGACACATAAAGATCATCAGCGAATCTCAAATGTTTATCAAATAGACCGAACGAAACAAAAAATTTTTGAGATTATTTTTTCACAATTTGATGATACGAAGATATATAAAGCATTTGTAAATGAAAGAAAGAGGTATATATATAATTTTTTGTAAATGTTAAACGTTTTTGTAAATATAAAGTGAGAATGTGTAAAACAATTCTTATTTTTATATTGCATATAAAATAGGAATAAGTAAATTATTTGCTTAATAAAAATCAAAAAGTGCTTTGCATTCTGACAAAACTGATTTTTTTTCAATTTGTCTTGATTAGATGTTTTTTACTTGACTTAATAAAAATTATCTACCAGTTTTGAAGTTATTTTTAATCATATATATGTATACAAGTATATGTATTCTGTTTCTTAATTTATATATATATATGTATGTATGTAATAAAATATATATACATATATATACATAAAATATATATACATAAAATATATATACATATATATACATTTTTTCATATTGAATTATTGAATAAATATTTTTTCATATTTTTAGAGGAAAATAGACTTTAAAATTTCAAAAATTAAAATATAAAATATAAAATTTCAAAATCAATTTATATTTAAAAGAAAATAATTATGTTATTTTGTAATGATAAAATAGGTTTACATAATAAGAAACACATTTCGAGATTATTTTAATAATTCATCAGAAATTGATAACGAAATAAATTCAATATATAGAATATATATATTTACTGTATACAATTAATTAAATAGAATATTTTTCTCTATGGGAAAAAATTTTACGTTATATTTATGATGTAATCTTAATGATCAACAATCAATCATTTAGTTATCTTTTTTTAAGGAATTAAAAATTTACCTGCAATTGTTAAAATCTTGAACTAATATATTGAGAAGGTCTGATCGTTTATCGGTAACTTACAATATGTGAACAATCTATAATAACTTATAATAACTTACAATATGTGTACAAACTATATTTTTAACATGTCAACAAAAATTTATGAATTATGATTTATTATTTATATTGTATATGGTTTAAACATAATGACATAATTTTGATATCTTATGGTACTACGAAAAATTTCATACTGATAAAAAAAATAAATATTATTTATTATTTGATTATATAAATATGATATACATATATTAATATATATGTATATCATATATTGTTTTGTTTTAATATTATTTTATAATACAATTGCTATTTTTTGCATTATAACATTTAATTTACAATAATTTAATACGATTTACACGAAAAAAATCCGTGTAAATAATACGTAAACAATTCGTGTAATTTTGATATATGGCACAACCAAGAAATATCAATTCCATTGTAGATACATTACCTCTAATCTCATCGATAATATAGAACACTGTCGGTCATCCACAACCGTGGTCGATAATGCACTGGCTCCGTCTGGTGCCGAACGATCAGACGACCCCTTCTATACTTACATTGCAACTGCGCCGGTCCGTCGTCGGTAGCCGTTGGCAAAGCGCGGGTTACGGTTTAAGTTGCACTTTAGATGCGAGCGGACGCGCATCCCTCTCTTTTCCGGGTCTCGGTTACGCTTCGCGAATATCGGGCGCATGTACAATCAAAACGCGGCTCGAGACGATTGTGAACGATCCCGCGAATTGTGACTGCACGACGCGGATGATTGGTGAGTTTTGATATTTCTTTTTTATTTTAATTTTAATTTTTTTTTTTATAATCTCGCGCGAAATAGGTGCTTCCTCTCGAACTCTCTTGTGCCGATAAATTACATCGCAATGGAAAGGAACGTGTTTTTGTCTGTTTCAATCACATTTTTTATGTATAAATTGAAATGAGGCATTAGAAATTGACAAGTTTTCATTATTTGCGCCACGGATTTTCATTAGTCTTTTTTTAAATCAGTGATTGAAATGGATTTATTTATAGAATGTCTCTCGGAATCAGTCATATATATGTCTTTTCATATTTTTAAATTCTTTGATCAATTTTAATGCATAATTATGCATAGAGAGAGGAAAAATACTGCACTTTTTTAATATACTTACTTTAGAAGAACAAAAATAAAACTGTATATATACAGTGCAGTTGAATGAACAATGTTATTTGCTTTTTACATTTTAATTATGTCTTCTAGCGATTAATTCTGTTATGCACAATCTATAATATATTTAACACATTTGAAATCCAAAAAATTTGAAATCAAGTCGAAATTGAAAGAATACAAAACTTGATTGTTTTCTTCCTGTAATTATTTAATCGCAAATCAATCTTTCCGTAGATTACAATGAGATGTCATTTTTCATAATTATTTGATGTTCAATGCAATATTTTGCTTTAATTATTTTAATATTATTACATATTATTGTAATACATTATATTCAGTATTTGTAATTATTTAATTTTTAGTATTTTTTTTAGTTACTAAATGTATAAACAAAGCCAATAAATAAAACAATAACTGAAAGTTTTATTTTTGAGGATGAAGTTGCATGTGAAATTGATTGAAGTTTCATTATATTTTATACTTTAATACTATTATATTTTATACTTTATTTAAGAAAATGTGTTTTGCAGAAAGTTTTCCATTTTAGATCTTATATCTCTTGGAAAATGACTGGTTCAGAATATTTTTATGAAGGAAAGATCGACTCGACAATCGAATCGAGGAATCCGTACGGTTGAAAGAAAGTATAGCTTTTATATCGCGAGACCTTTATACATTTGATAATTTTTAAAGGGAAAAAAGTGAAAGAATACAAAAGTGTAAAAAACATAGAAGAAATGGACACAACGTTCCCTTATTTAATCCTGTATCGCCAACTTTAAGTGCAACTGGCTAATAATAATTTACGATTAAATTTTAATATATTATATTTGGTGCGTTTCATTCTGATACATTACGACATGTGAACATCTTAATATTGAAAAAATAAAATAATATTGTTATTCACTGTTTTATTATTTTTTTAATGCTAATTTATTTTTTTGTTAAATTTTATTGCATTACTATTAAAAAATATCGGTTTGTTACTGCTTATGTAATAATTTAATTACCCTTTTTCTAGTATATTGAATTGTTTGGAAAGTTTTCTAATCGTTATTCTTTTATTTCACATATTTCATGTATATTTGATTGAAAAGAGGTGAGAACATTTCTCTTTTTGAATTAAATATTTCTCGCTAATAATATCAAACTGTTAAAATTAAATAGATTAAAATTTTTTGTCAGAGTTTACTTTAATAATAATCTCATAAAATCAGTTATTATGCACACATAAACTAATAGAACTTTTTATCACAATTTTTTAATTATGAAATAATAAATGTTACACACACACACACACACACACACACACACACACACACACACACACACACACACACACACACACACACACACACACACACACACACACACACACACACACACATATATATATATATATATACATACATACAGGGTGTCCCAGATCATCCGTACACTCCTTTTAACGTAAAAAAAAGCTTTTATCAAAAATCGCGAACAATTTTTAAGTAAATCGGGTACGCTCTATTAAATGGTGATTTTATCAACTTTTGATTCCGACCGGAAATACGCCATCCAAATTGGAAGTTGAATTTTTTTAGAGGAACATGGTACTTTTTATTACAGATTCGAATTGTACGTGGAAAAATAAGAAACTTTTGTATCAAACATTTTTTCTGAAAGTGCCTCTGTCAATCTTAAAATTGACCTTGATTATTTCATCAGTTATTTTCAAGGTTAATTTTAAGATTGACAGAGGCACTTTTAGAAAAAAACGTTTGATACAAAAGTTTCTTATTTTTTCAGGTACAATTCGAATCTGTAATAAAAAGTACCATGTTTCTCTAAAAAAATTCAACTTCCGGATCCGCATGGCGTATTTCCGGTCGGAATCAAAAGTTGAAAATATCACCATTTGATAGAACGAAACAACGAACCCGATTTACTTAAAAATTGTTCGCGATTTTTGATAAAAGCCATTTATTTTCATTTTAAAAAGAAAGAACGGGTGATCTGGGACTGTATATATATATATATATATATATATATATATATATATATATATATATAATTTAATAAAATATAAAAATATCAAATCAAATATTTGTAGATTGAAATATCGCTACTTGTTATCTTATCTATCTTTTTTTTTATTATTTTCTAAGAGATTATTCTGATCAAATTACATTGATTTATGTATATAATAAATTGTCAGTATTAATCTCATCCTTTCGGCCAAGTCGGCCAAGTTTCCATGGAAAGATCATTTTCAAGGAGTTTGAGCTCCTGCCAGAATTCTGAGACTTCCAGAAAAGTGGAAATATTTTACCTTCTTATATTTCCTTTTTGATTAAAAAGTAATAAAAAAAGAAAATACTATATATCATGTTTTAAAAAAGAAATTTGATTTCAAATAAATGAGGTAACGTGAAAAAGTTTGCAATGTGCGTCACATCTACATGTGTGTGTACGCGTGCACGAGCGACGAATTCGTTGCATGTCGCGTCGTTTGCCAATATAATTGTATTCATCGTCGTCGAGTGGGTAAAGAATATGCATATAGGGCAATGACCTTTTTGTGATCCCTTTCGCTGCATTAATATACCGGGATACCATATGCACTTTTGGCATGATATTACATATGGATTATCAAAAGGGTTGGATTTCATACACACACACGTATTCAAATTATTCAAATTATATTGAATAATAAACGGAAGTAAGTCGAGATTCTATTTCTATCATTCCTCCGCATTGGTTAATCTGAAATCTGTCATTATGAATTATCGATGCTGTAACATTATACTAATATAATATAATTTCGTTATAGAATTCTATGAAACTAAATTCAAGTATCTGACATAAATATGTTATGAGATGATGATCATATTTCCGTGATGGCTATTGTTCACAAAATAGATATTGATAAACATATCATTAACAAGTGGCAAGATACAAATATATCTGGAACATTTCCTTGATATAAAATGATTATTCTGAAAATATTCTTTTACTTTTAATTTCTATGAAAGAAAGAAGAAAATAATTTATTCTATAATATCAAAAAAAAGTTTATTATTTAATTTATTACACAAAAATTACTAATTTTTATTTACAATTTCTATCCAATTTTATCAATCTGAAAAAATGAGTAATGTGAAATTATGAATAATCGATCTATTATTTGATAAAGCTTTAAAAACACATTATTTAACTTTCTCAAACGTAATAAAATTATATATATGATATGATATTTTATATTAATTATAACTTCATAAATTTTTTGCAATATTTGATATTTTTTAGAAGAAAAATTTATTATTAATCTTATATTTAATATATAATATTAAAATTTGTTTCTTTAAATTTTAATATTATATATTAAATATAACTAAAAGGAATATATTCAAATCAAATCATACACATACATACACTAATATATGAAATTTTATTTAAATTTTATTTAATAATCTCTATATATGTAGTTAATATTATTATGTCTCAGCATTCGGCACAACTGTAAGTCCATAGTAAATATTGAATGAATAAAAAACAAATTAAATGACGATAATAAAGCTGTTAAAATGAAATAAATTCGAGGATAAATTTAATCGTTTAAATCGTTTAAACAGAGTTAAATCACTAAAGTATCACGATTAATGTAAAGAATTTTTTATATTTAGTGTTGCTATTATTGCTTTATTATCTTCTTGCTATAATTATTTTGGCATATGCTTTATTATCACTATGAAGAATTATTATCACTAAATTATTATCACTACGAAGTAGAATTTTTGGTATCATTAAATTGTTCACCTGTATTTTTAAATCAATTTATTTTTACGATATTAAAATATTTGAACTATTCTGAAATAATTTATACATTCTAATATAGATTTCAAATTTTATTACATTTTTAAAAATTAAAAAGAAAGAATTAAATATTTTCTTTTACTAAATATTTATAGGATAAAATATTGATATAATATGATATCAAAGAGTTCATATAAAAAAATAGAACTTTATAATGCATGCAAATAAAAAAATCATTTATGAATTTTTTTAGATTAGAGCTTAAGGAAAGCAAAATACAAGGAAAGGAAAATTAAGTTTTTCAAAAGATTAAATTATTTGAATATTTAAAAGTGATTTAAAAGATTTATGTTCTTTATAAAAAAAGGAAAAATTTTGTTCATTTGTAATTTCGATTATTTTGCTTTGTTTAATTGAACTCTTAGATTTATTCCTAACAATTGTACAGAGTGATTGACTATATATACATGTGTTAAAATATGGATATACATGCATATGTGTATCTTGTATATGTGCAAAGTGTTTGTATGATTTCCTTATTTTATGTATGCTATATGGTCATGTGCGCAATATTTTTATATGCGTGTACACAAACATACGTTTATATTTTAAATTATTACATGTGTGCAATAATATTTGTAGAAAATCACTTGGTAGGCAATCGAAAATATTGAAGCTGTTGGCAACAAAACAATGTAAGCAAACGGAACTATTGATAATCGGAATCATACGAGATGCTTCCGATCAAAAATTCAATTTCATAAAAAAAGTAAAAATATATAAAAATAATATGTGTAATGAATATTATTTTTGATGCTACTGACGTA